GGGGCGCACTTATAAAAAATATTAGAAATAATTTTTCGATAAAATATAATGACCAAAAACCCTTGAAACTTTCTGGGGTATTTTGGTCATTTTATTTTATTGGAAATATTTTTTAATATTTTCCGCTAGTGCGAGTTTAATAGATTGGACATCCAAAATTTGGTGTCAAAATAGTTTATAGAAAAAAGCTAAAAATAAAATAGTGTAGAGATGTGACATTGTGTTTGGGGCAATCTTAACCCTCCATTCAGAATGGACGGTTGGATAAGGGGAAGTATATAAGTTTTATGCTGTAGGGGAAGCATAGAAATCTTGCCCATTAGTTATACCATTGATTGATCAAGTTGTTCCTGAGTTTTATTTTATTGGATGTTGTTAGTCTATTATAAATTTTAGAATTTTAGTTATTGGAGGGGTTGCTGTATATGACATTATACTTGCATTCTGATGGGATCGATACACAAATTGCTATTTCTGTTCTTTCTGAAAGGTTTCCTCCATCTCTGTTTTAGATGCCCTGTTGGGGGAAGGAATTCTAGTGTGTCAGCGTTGAATGCACATCAGACCAAGGACAAGTTAATGGAAGGATTGGTTCTTAAGAACTCTGCTTCTCATGGTGAGCACAGCATTCATATTGAAAACCCCTATGTTGGGTCTGCCCTAATTTGATTTCTGAGCTTCTATATAGCTTTGCTTCCTTCTATCTTTGCATGTCTGGATTCATTAATATCAGACTCACTAATGGATTGTAGGTTACTCCAAATCAGTTCAGGGTATTCTTGGTAATCCTGATGCATATCAATCCGTAGAAATGCCAACACCAGTTGGGTCTTCAACGAATTCAAATCTGATGAGCCATGACTTCATGAAAGCAACTGATCGAAGAAGCATCGAGGATCACCCTGCTTCACCTCAAATGTTATTATCTACTTGGGGTTCAAACAAGGATTTCCCCACGCAAGATTTTAGGCATTGCAATAATCAGGCTCTTGAAACTATTAAGGATGCAACTCGCAATGGGTTTTCCCTTACATCCTGTGATTCGCTTGGTTTTGAAAGACCTGACACAAAAGTTTTCTTCTTGAGTAATGGGGTCACAAGTAACTGTGTTGATAACAAGAACATAATCTCAAATGCATCAACTCTGAAGAGCCAAACAATTCAGGCTTGTGACAATGGAGACTTGAATGGTGCAATGGACTTTCAAGAGGGGTATTGTAAAATATCCGAGGTTGTTGATTGTCATGAGTCAGCTGAAATTGTTGCTGATGCAAACAGCAGCAGCAGCAGCAGCAGTCACAGGGAGAAAGAGAAGCCTGGGGAAGATGGGGACCATGATAATGATCCAATCGAAGGTGTATTTACCTTTTGTGATGAAGGTTACAGCTGGAAACCATTCTAACCTTTCCTTATAGCAACCTTTCTCTTGCTGGTTTTACTGATTTCTCTCCATGTTTTGAACAGGTTGATTGATCATAACATGGTCTGGAAATTTCTCGTTCCAAAATACGCCTTTTACAGAACAAAGGAATTCTCATTTGAGGATTGGTTACATGTTATAGGATCTTTATGTAGGTGTGCCCTTGAAATGATGGGTTATGGGTTGGTTTGACTCCCACCGAATTATAAAGTATTTACCATTCTAGTCGTCTTGGTTTATTGAAATTGATTACGAGGAGAGAAGGGCAGTCGATTCAAGCATGTGGAGTTTAATACTGATGATGAGAGGTAATTTAGTAAACAGCCCTATGATTGACTGATTTGTCATGTATATATGGTTGTCATGCCATCCAATTAGATGGAGTTTCCATAGCATATGGGGCTAGCATTGGCATGAGGAAGTCTTCTCTGCACAAGCATTATGTTGTACAATCTTTGTTGGGAGTTCCAAATCCCCATGTGTGCCCTTTGTACATAGTTTGTATAGAATTTAGCTGTACTGGCTTAAACAGATGGCTATCAATGAGGAGGGAAATCAAGTGATTCTTTTCCCATCTGAATCCAACTTTTCTTTTTTTAAGCAGTATTTATCAGTTGTGGACTGGCATTTGCTGCCTCCGAGAAGTGTACTTGTAAAATGATCTTCTTGTATCACATTCTCAAGGAAATGCCCTTTTTATATTGGAAACATAAAAAGGAATCCAGAATTATGCTTGGTTCTTCAAGACTCCAACTTGTAGTTGTTTGGTTGGAAGATCTGTTTTCTTCAGTTATTCTTTATATAAGCTTCACTCTTGAGAGTGCACAAATATATTTTTCATATAAGCTTCACTCTTGAGAGTGCACAAATATTTTTTTCATATAAGCTTCACTCTTGAAAGTGCACAAATATCATTTTAACCTACCTATGTATGATACGTCCGTAATACTCTACTCCATAGGTGTATGATGACGGAACCCAGGTCTTGTAATATCTTTACATATTATGCTTGATAGCTGAATAAGATCTTTTTCAGCACCAATTAAGAATCTACACAAAAATTTCACTTTGGTATGCATGATTCTCTATTGTTTTCTTTGGTTTAAATCGCATGTTCCTGTATTGTCACTCCAAACCGTCCAATTTGACATATAATGAGTGAATGATTGTGATATCCATGTAAAAAATATAAAGGGTGCGGTTTGTATAGAGCCGAGGTTCAAAACAGTCAAAGTAAAGTGTACTTTCAAATAATAGCGAGAAATGTGGTTTCAATACTAAAATCTTTGTGATAGCCTTAAAATAAATTTTCATGTTCAATTATAAAATTTAAAGCTTACAAATAGTGTAGATCGAGCAGATCTATGAAAACTTGAAAATTGACGGTCCAAAAATTGAAATCCATTTTTTTCTTAAGTCCATGAATTTTGATGTTGAGATGTGACATTTGAGGATCAAAACAACCTCTTCTAGTGAAATTTTTGAGAGATAATGGTCTCTTTGTAGATAGTCCCGTCCACTTATAATTATATCGTGGGAATGTACAAATATAGATTGGTTCATGGATTCCCTATTGGATTGAGTCCTCCTCTCCAAAATCCATCTTGGAAATACGTTTTGGATTTAAAATTTTACAAGTCTATGATACGATCATAAATGAGCCTTAAAAATAGTTCATTTTGTACATTGTGTTATGGACTGATCATTTCAACTTTTTAAAGATGATTAAGTTTGTAATGTTTTTTGGTGCCTATATTCAAGGATTTGAGGTGGAAATAAGTTTGTAACGATTTGGGATGTGTTTGGTTCTCCAAAACCATTCAATTTGGATGAACACCTGGCTTGCCCCAAACTTTTTCATTACAAAAGCTACAATCATCACCATTCGTTAGATATGAAATTAGCCGGTTAAAATAGTGACAACAACTATAAATTAGAACAAATTATCTACTGATCGTGTCACAAAATGACACACCTCAAATATAAAAAATTCCATTTGATGGCTTGGGGTGCTTGTGATCTTTACGAAGTAATTTGTAAGAATCTCATTGGATACAATCCCATTTTATTCAGGGTGCAGATGGCATACAGATGCATCCGTAGCTGTAGAGGTAAGATGCGCCTTCAAATTTTATCATGGTACATAATTTTGATGTCAAATGTTTTTAAGATTATCTCAAAATCTATTTTTATATCTAATTCTAAAATTTAAAATTTAAAAAATAATTAAAGTCAAGTAGATCTATAAACATATGAAAATCTTGAAAATGAACAGTGTAGATAATATGTTGTAAAATGCATTATTTCTGAGACTTAAAATCCTTTTATTTTTCATGGTCATACATCTCGATGTCGAGATGATCAATCAAAGGGTTTTTCAACATTAAAACTACTTTTTTTGATGGATTTTTGAGGTGCGTACATAGGTCTACATGTTACAACCTTATATAAACTTTTTCTTTTTATTTATATTATTCGTTAAAGGAAAATTGTTGTATACCTCAGTGGCGCATTCCTAATCTTGTATCCTGGTGCAAATGAGTAGTCACTCCACACAATTAAAACCAATGTTCTAAAACATTTTTTCATTAAATTATTATTTTTAGTTTATAAAATTTATTTTTATAAATTAATAATCTTGTAGAGTAGCGGCATATGTAGGTGACTCTAAAAAATTGAGAAAAAGCTTGGAGGACGAGGATGATAATGATATTAATAATCTCCATGTTGGAGACTCTATATTTCTAAAAGAAAATTACATATATATCTGATTTACAGATGTATCAAATAGTTTCTGTTATTAAATGTATATGTTTGTTTTTTATCTTTTATAAAGTAATTTTTTTAAAAAAGAAAATTTTACTATTTTTCAGATGTTGAACATACGAAAATTACATACGCATCCTTTGTTTTTTTACTTTTTTGGATGTTGAACATCCGAAAATAGGCCAAAAGTTCATATTCTCATTTTCGGGCGTTGAACATCCGAAAATATGATATTTTGGGATGTCGGACATCCAAAAATATCATATTTTCAGATGTTCAACATCCGAAATGTGACTGTGGAATGTGAAAAATGGGAATGTTAATGTTTAACTTTCGGGCTATTTTCGGATGCTGAACATCCAAAAAATCTTTCAATTCGAATGTTTAACACCTAAAAATGGGAATGTGAACGTTACATTTTCGATTTATTTTTAGATGTTTAATATCCGAAAAAAAATAAAACCATCATTTTAAAAAAATTACATCATAAATAGTAAAAATTGGACATATATGCAGTAACGAAAACTATTAGGTACATTCGTAGTAAGCAACGCAAAGTATAAGATGTAATTTTGCCCTTTTCTAAACTTCATTACAAAATCATCCCAACAAAAACAAATTTAAGAGGGGACTCAATTTCCACATCTGAGTACTAGGATTCATAGAAACCGTGTCCTTCGTTGAAAGGCTTGAGCCGCCGTATATATAAATGGCTTCTCCGAGGAGTTCCAGTATGGATCACGAAATGTTGAATTTTTCACTGTGATTAACACCCTCTCTCTACCCATTTCTCTCTCTACCCAAATGGTCGACTTTAGGGTTTTCGTGGCCTTGTTTGTGGCCCTTTCTCTCTCTAGCCATGGATCCAATGCCTCCTATGCTGATGCGTCCTCCCCAGTTGTCAATCCAAGCAAAGTGAAGCAGATCTCATGGAGACCCAGGTCAATTCTACACACTTTCTCGCACTGAAATTTATGATGATGCTTTGAATCTGTTTCAGTTTGTTAACGGGAAGAAATCTGGTTATTGACAGGGCTTTCGTGTATGAAGGCTTTTTAACAGATGAAGAATGCGATCATTTGGTTTTTCTTGTGAGAATTCTTCACCCGTTTTGATGGTTCCAATCTGAATGCATTTGTTGATGCGATTTTTGAATTGTTTTATTTATTTGTTGTGATTAAGGGTGGTGAATTGGTGTACTGATACTATTATCTGATAGGTCTTGTCTTGCAATTTAAACACTATAATACTTCAATTGATATACTTTGTGGGTTATGGGTTTTAATCTATGGATAAATCTTTTCCACTGTGTCAATTTGCTTCGGTTCCAATTGGGTCTCTGTTGTTTTGTTGCTTGTGATCGGTGACACGTATAATTGGTCAAAGAAATTTATGGAATTAGCTTTAAAAGATTTAGTGCTGCTGCATTTTGGTATTGGGAGATAATTTTTCATTTTTATTCTTCCTATGGGTACATTCCTCAACTCTTTTTGCATTTGTCATATTATTTTCTTCATTTTTTTTTTTTTGAATGTTAAATTGGGTCCCGGTGAGAATGGACCTCTAGATGTCATGTTGGGCCCCTGCGACCCATACCACCTCTGCCTAGAGCCTGTTTCTCTCATTTAGCATGACTTCTGTGTAGACCATTTTCACCTGCCATGTAGACCATTTTCACCTGCCATGAATTCCAGGCAACCTTCGAGACTTTGTGGAGATATTTATCTTCAAATTCTTGCCATTTACCAAAATAAGGCATCCTCCTAATTTAGGATGTGCAGAAGTTAACGTTTATTATTGATATTTGTAATAATAAGGAACCTTCTTGCTTGCAAGAGTACTTTCTCCCATCATAATCCATCTCTCGGAGGTTTAATTCTGGAGGCCATGATTATTATTGATGGCAAGGACCTAAAGAGTGAGATAGATTGGTATCAAAGGAAATGCGGCTTCCACTCCATTGGTTTGTGTACTAAGAACATTTACAGTAAGAAGTTGTATAGGTCTGTGAAACTGGAGATGGGGATGGGTATTATGTAAATGATTTTTGCCTTCCAATTGTCTCGTTGAACATTTGTCAGAGAAAAACAAAGGTAGAGTCTGTTTTCTCAGTATGTTTTATTTTTTCATCTGAATGTTGAGATTCTTCAATCTTGTTTATTATGTTTCCTTATAACAACAACGACAACGACAACAACACCAACACCAAGAAGAAGTAATAAAAAAAAGAATAATAATGATTATATTGTTAACATTATTTAATTATCGTTGTTCTGAGTATGTTTAAAAATTGTTAGTGATTACGATCATCATCCTCAGAGATGTACATATGTTTTTATTTTGTTTTTCTCCAGGTTTAATCATTTATTGAATCATTTTACTATATGTTTTTGTTATAGTGAACTTGTCTATTAAGGGTGCTGGTCTGCATTCATTGTTCCATAGGCCTACTGCTATTATGTGTTATTAGTATATCATTTTGCTTACTGTGACATTGTTTACAATGTATATCTTTCAAATACTGATCAGAAAATGTTGATGCTCTGTGGTTTGCAGGCCAAATCAGAGCTCAAGCATTCAGCTGTTGCTGATAACATATCTGGCAAAAGCAAGTTAAGTGAAGTTCGCACAAGCTCTGGAATGTTTATCAGAAAAGGAAAGGTTATCTCCTTGTCCTACTAAATGTGCTCAGTTGTATTTTCATTACATTGCATTTTCTGGGTTTTAAGTAGCAACTTCCTTTGTTTTGTATAGGACCCCATTGTTGCGAGGATTGAAGACAAGATAGCTGCTTGGACATTCCTTCCAAAAGGTAATCCCTCTTTCTGTTATCTTGTCGATGCCTTTTTGTTTTTCCTATATATGTTAAACATACATTATATTTTATGCAGTGCTGCTCCTTATTTCTGTAACAAACCATCTCATAAATTGCACTGGGTAACTTGTGCCGTTTTCTTTTATTGCTGGGGATGTCACTTGGTTTGTCTACTTGAATTTAGATAAGAATGTGAAACTTGGCAGTTCATTAGCAAGTGTGAAGTTAGATCTTTAAAACTTCATAAATAGCGAAACCAAAGAATGCGAGTGATGACAGATGTGGCTATGTGGAATTCAAGGGAGTAAGATAACAAATTTTCTCTTTTTCTTTTATTAATGAATCTGAATTCCAATTAGAATTATCAGAATGCACTACTATGAACAAGAAGTAAAGCCCTAAGTACAATCTAGGATCTTTGCTTGTATTACAAATAGAATAGACACAATCCAAGAATGAAAAACAATCTTCTACTAACAATTTTAGTGCAAATAATGTTCCTGGAAATTCAAATAAACAAGCAAAGATACCGAAAAAATAAAAGCAAACAGGTGGGAATATTTACTAGAATTGCCTAGGTTACCCCTTAGGACTTTGTACACCCCACACCTGATTTCTTGATTGATAGAGGAGACCTTTGATCCTATTGTCCTTATTGAATTTTCTGAGCTGGGAAGCTTTCTTAGGCAATACCATACAAACTATAGTTTTTATTAGAGAATAACATAATTAGGGTTTCTTGGACCCTTTTATGAAGTATGAACCTTTGGGGAATCTCCCCTTGATCTAATTTGTGGTTGGGCGTGCACCCCTAAGTCCTTGTGGGGGTGGCGTGCCACCTAGAGAGAGAAGAGAGAGAGAGAAAAAAGAGAGTGGGGCTGGAGAGAGAGAGAGAGAGAGAGAGAGAGAGAGAGAGGTAGTAAAAAATTATTTAGAGAATGAGAAGGGGGGGGGGGAGGGGGGGTACGGGGGTCGGGTTCGTTACGTTAGTAGTCGTCGTACGGTAGGTTAGGTACGAGTCGTCGTACGTACGTAAGTAATAAGTTA